TGCCGAACGCGGCCTCCAAACGATTGCAAAACCCCGTATAGTCTGCCAGCAATGGGAGTCTTGCCTGAGTAGCGGCAACGCCCACTTGGCCGCCTGGTCCTTTAACAAACTAATCAAAAAGTGCACCTTGGTGCGGTCGTCAGGAAAGTTCCGGGCTCGCCCCTGAATATACAGCTTGGCCTGGGCCAGGAACATGGGAAAGCTGGCCGGGGCTCCATCAAATTTCTCAGGCAAAGCCACTGGGTACTTGCCAGGAGCCGAGGCGTCGGCCCCAGGAGCCGGTAGGGCTTCCAAGCGTTGTTGAAGTGCCACAACCGCGTCACTGAGCTGCTGCACGGTGTGAGTCAAGGCCTGGTTCTTCTGGGCCAAAGTCACCAGTGCAGCCGCCTGGTCAGCCATGGCCTCTGGCTCTTCCCGAACGCACCCCTACGAAGGGGGAGTGCGGGTTGGGCGGGAGCAAACTGTGCTGGTCCCGGGGGTAAGGTACCTTGGGTGTAGCAGAGTCCGCACGAAGAGGGGCAAGGTCCGAGGCAGAGAGCCGGGCGGGGAACAGGAATGCTGGAACAGGAGGCTGTGCAGGGAACAGGAACACCGGATGGTCGGGAACAGGAGGCCGAGCAGGGAACAGGAGTACCGGATAGTCAGGAACAGGAAGCCGAGCAGGGATCAGGAACACAGGAAGGTCCGGAGCCAACAACGACGTTGCTCCCGCAACCTGGGGCCGGGCTGACTGGGCTTTTATCCTCTTCTAAGGCCAGGGGCGGTCCCGGTCCCCAGGAGCCCCGCCTCCTCTGGCCTTAAGGCGAGCACTCCTCCTGGGGGCAACCAGTTCCCTTCGCCTCTCTGCCCTAAGCCTCTGCAGATCAGGAGAGGCTGAAGGGTTACTGGGCCCTGGAGGAGGCTCACCTGTGGCCACTGAGTCATCAAGCCCCTCTGGGGCCCGAAGGGCTTCACCTGGGGCCAGCTCCTGATGCACTGCCACAGGTGCAGGCTCTTCAGCATCAAGGCCTTGCCCCAGTTCAGCCGGCCCTGGAGGCGGGGACTCCTGTGCAGGCCGGGATTCCTCTGTTTCATCCTCCGAATCGGAATCCCAGGCCATCACACCTGGAGATGACCATCGCATGGATCACTGTGGCCAGGTCGGGGCGGGAAAGGTAAGGGACCAACTGCTTGATGAGGCGAAGGTGGAAAAATGTTGCCTTGGCTGCTGCTGTAACTTGCGCCTCCATGGAAAGGGAGGCGTCAAGGATTACACCCAAACTCTTAACGGAAGGCAATGGCACTAATTGGGCCCCCGCAAGAGAAGGGAGTTGGTCCCTCATCCCCATGCCATCCCGACCCAGCCATAGGACCTCTGTCTTCGAAGGATTTAGTTTCAATCGGCTCCCACGAAACCATCCAGCCACAGCTTCCAAGCATCTGGTCAGTGTGTTCGGGGCTGAGTCGGTGTGGCCATCCATCAGCAGATAGAGCTGAGTGTCATCAGCATATTGGTGACAGCCCAGCCCAAAGCTCCGGATAATCTGGGCAAGGGGGCGCATAAAGATGTTAAAAAGCATTGGGGAGAGGATTGCGCACTGCGGCACTCCACACACCAAGGAGTGGCGCGACGACATTTCCCTCCCTAGTGCCACCCTCTGTCCCCGACCAGAGATAAAAGAGCACCGCCAGTTACGGGCTATGCCCTGTATCCCCATGTCTGCGAGGCGGTGGTCCAGAAGATCATGATCAACCATGTCAAAGGCTGCTGACAAATCTAAAAGGATCACCAGTCCTGACCCGCCTCGATCCAGCTGTCTACAGAGATCGTCTGTTAGGGCAACCAGAGCCGTCTCGGTCCCAAAACCAGGACGGAAACCGGACTGAAATGGATCTAAAGCCGATGTTTCCTCCAGAAACCTACCAAGCTGTTGAGCAACCGCTCTCTCAATTACCTTACCCAGATATGGAAGATTTGAAACTGGGTGGTAATTGGATAGGTCTAAGGGATCTAATGAAGTTTTCTTTAAGAGTGGACATACCACTGCTTCCTTCAGTTCCCCTGGGAATGTCCCCGTGTCAAGAGACAAATTGATAATTTCAACCAGGGGAGTCCGCACAACATCTGGACATTCCCTAATCAGCCAAGACGGGCACGGATCAAGGAGGCAGGTGGTGGGCCTACTAACTTGGAGGAATCTATCCACATCAGCAGGGAGTATTCGATCGAAATGGTCCAACACTGGACCTGAAGTCAGTCGAGGGGCCTCCAGTTCAGTCACTGTATCTAAATTGGCAGGGAGGTCACGGCGGAGCAACAGGACTTTCTCCGCAAAAAAGCTCGCAAATGCCTCACAGCTGTGGGTCGAATTTGTGCTTAAATTTGGTTGTCCTCCTAAGGACGTTATTGATCTAATTATTCTAAAATGTTGTGCCGGGCGAGAGCTAGCGGATGCAATGGAAGCTGCAACGTAAGATTTCTTAGCAGCTTTCATAGCCATCTCATAGGCTTTCATAAGTGTCCTATAAGATGTTCTTGAGGCTCCGTCACGAGTCTGTCGCCATACTCACTCTAGCCGTCTGAGATCCCGCTTCATTTTCCAGAGCTCCTCAGTAAACCAAGGGGCCCGGTTTCGACGGGGTCGCAGAGGGCGCTTAGGCGCGATCTCATCAATGGCTGCCAAGAGCCGGTTATTCCAGTCCTCAACAAGGTCATCTAATGAGTCGCCAGGAGGAGCAGGGTCCTGCAAGGCTTGTCGGAATCTATCAGGATCCATCAGTTTTCGCGGACGAGCCCAAATAGGTTCACCACCCGATAATAATAATAATACAATGGGTCAGCATGTCTGGCTGTTAGCCAGAAGGTTGGTGGTTCGAGTCCACCCAGGGAAGGCTGTGGGCAGGATTCCTGCATTGCAGGGGGTTGGAGTAGATGATCATTGGGGTCCCTCCCAACTCTATTAGTCTATATTATTATTATTATTATTAGCACTTTTAATGTATATTTTATATTTTGTGTATCCTGCTCAGAGGATTTGATGGGTAAGTATATATAAGAACTGCTGAATGAATGAAGAAATGTGTCAATATATATTTATTTGGACAAAGAATTGGACAGATCCATGGATGAGGAGGAGGAGGAGGAGGAGGAGGAGGAGGAGGAGGAGGAGGAGGCTTTTGATTGTTACTAGCCATGATGGCTCTGCTCTGCCTCCATGGTTCTGTGGGATGTGAAACACAAGAGCAGTCAAGTACAACATTCCTAGAGTGAACATGTTTACACATGGGGAGGAATGTTTGTCCAGCCAGCAGGTGAACTTCCTTGGCCTCCAGCCAAGAGAGGACAAAGGGACTGTCTCTTTATGAGATAATTTCCAGGTGTGTGTTACTTTTCTAAGATAAGTCTGCCTTCTGGGATCTGATTGTAAACAGAATGTGAGTGAGTAAACTCTTTTTATACTTTTATAGAAAACTGTGCCATGTCTTATCTTTTATGAGGGAATAAGGGTAAAATACCAGAACAGTTATTATAGAGGTTTTAGCCAGCCTGAGCAAACGCATCCGCTGTGAGTTTTAAAAGGGGGATGTTACTCTGCTAAATTGTGAACTTGTTAACACAAGTTGGAAAGGCTATAATCAAACAATATATCCTCTCCTGCATCCCTGAACATTCCCACAGGTTGGAGGCAGCAATACTTCTGAATCCCAATTGCTGGAAACTGCAGGAGGGGAGACGGTGCTCTTGTGCTCAGGTCCTTCTAGTGGGTTTCGCATAAGAATTGGGTTGGTCACTGTGAGAACAGGATGCTGGACTAGATGAGTCATTGACCTGACCCAGCAGGGCTCTTCTTATGCAATTCCCACTGTAGTTCAACAGGATAATTTTGCCTAGGATTTCGGTATTAAAAGCATGTGCGATAAACCTTTATCAGCCTCAGGGCTGCATTACCTTGTGTTAAAACCTTCTGGGGGCACATGCCAGAAGCAAAAGCAAGTGGAGCAATGGATGTGACTTTATACAATAGGCCACAGCCTGGTCACACACTCATATCTGTTCATATCCACCAAGAAGATAATCAAGAGGCATTATGATTGTTCAAGGTCACATTCTAGTCAATCGAAAGCATTCAAGGAGGGCACAGAGCAGGGCTGACAAGGCGCATGGCCCAGAGAGAGCCTCAGTGGCCTCGCCTCCAGCCTCAGGGGTCTCATGGAGTACAGGTGAGATGTCATGATAGCCAGTCCTAGCCCAACATGGCCGCATGTTTGTTTTGAAGAGGGGAAAAAATCATCTCAGTTGCAAAGACAAAGGACGTGACATTAAATTCTGGTTGCAATTTCTTTTATTGACTATCAAAGAAGCAAGAAAGCATTCCTTTAGACTAATCTATGCAGACAAGAAGCCAAAGTGTACCATGTTCTATCCTGACAGCCCTGAACCCTCAGATCCAGGCGGCTTCCTCCCAGTCCTGCCATTGTATGAGTGGGGCATCAGCCTTAATAGAGTGATTTGGGACCAATTCTTGCATTAACCTAAGACAGGGATGGAAAATTCATGGCCCAATAATCCCAAACATTCTAGCTGGGTCTTACAGCATCTAGAGGGCCACAGGTCCCTCATCCTATCCCTTGAGCTCATCTGAGGACTAGACAGGAAGTGGGTGAGAATGAATATTTTGCTACTTGGCCGGGGTGAGGGCCAACATGTCTCTTTCAAAGGAGCAGCAATGGTACATTAACTAAAAAGCAAAGCGGCTCAATGATTCTCATTCCCAGACGCCCACAATTAAGCCTGACACCGTCCCTGCCCTACTAGCGACCCATCAAGCTAAATACAGCCAACCAGCCACTTCTTCTTCGCAATTGCTTGCACACACACCTGCCAGAGTTAGTGGGAAACAAACCAAAGCCAGATGTTTTCCAGCTCCTATGAGCCACCCACCCTCTTCTCTCTGGGTCACAATCCTTTATACATCAGCCTTTTTTTTATCTAGAAGGGTTTTGGTTTCGTTGGGGAGACTTTAGTGCTTTGGGGACCATGGAGAAGGGAACTGCAATGCTCTGCGCTGTTGCTGAGGCCAAGGTCGGAGGGGCTGCCTGGCCAAAGAATCGATCGGCCCCTGGGAAGCTGGACTCTGTGTCGGCTCACAGCTCCCTTCTCTCTCCGATGTCTGAGGTTTCGTCTCCTCTTGAGGGGAAGTGGCCTGCTCTGGTGTCAGAGGCCGGCATTCATGAGGGCAATATTGGATCTGCCCAGAGTTTTGAGGTTTCCCCTCCTCTGAGTGAGGCTGATGCCTTGTTGATGAAGACTGACCTTTCCAACGGCCAGTTGTGGCCCTCTCTGGAGCCTCTGTCTCCTGACTGCTTGATTCTTGCTCTTGTTCACAAGGATTTGTTTCCTCCTGAGGGGAAATTCCCCGCTCTGTTTCTGAAGACTGACATTCATGCTGATCTTTGCTCTGCCTTGGTTTTTGAGGCTTCCGTTCCTCTGGGCAGGTCTGGCTTTGTTCTGATGTTGAAGACTGGCATGCGTGACCACCAGATGTAGCCTTCCTTGGAGTCTCCACAGATTCACAGCTTGCTTCTCTCTTTGACACCTGAGGTTTTGTCTCCTCTTTAGGAGAAAGAGCTTGTTCTTGAGTCAGAGGCCGAGATGCTTGGCAGTGATGTTGGCTCTGCCTTGGTCTTTGAGGCTTTTGCTCCTCTGAACGGGATTGGCATCGTTCTGATGGTGAAGGCTGACATGTCCGACCACCAGATGTGGCCTTCTCTGGAGTCTCCACCGACTCACAGCTTGCTTCTCTCTTTGACACCTGAGGTTTTGTCTCCTCCTTAGGAGAAAGAGCTTGTTCTTGCACCAGAGGCTGAGATTCTTGACAGCGACGTTGGCTCTGCCCTGGTTTTTTTGGCTTCTGCTCTTCTACATGGGGTTGACATTGTTCTGATGGCCGACCTCTAGATGTGGCCTTCTCTGGAGCTTCTGGTAGCTCACAGCTGGCTTCTCTCTCCTGTGTCTGAGACATCTCTTGAGCAGAGGGGACCTGCTTTGGTGTCCAAGGCTGGCATGCATGACTGCGATGTTGACTCTGCCCTGGCTTTTGAGGCTTACTTTCCTCTGGACAGGGCTGACGTCTTCTTAAAGATGGACATTCACAACAGGCAGTTGTGGCCTTCTCTGAACCCTCTGCTTCCTCTCTCTCCTGTTTCTGAGATGTTGTCCTCTCCTGAGGGAAAGGGCCCTCCTCTGGTGTCAGAGGTGAACATTCATGACTGCGATATTGACTCTGCCTTGTATTTTGAGGCTTTCTCTCTTCTGGATAAGGTTCATGTTGTCTTCTTGTCAAACGTTGACCTTCATGACAGCCAGTTGTGGTCTGCTCGGTACTCTCTGTTGGCTCACTGCAGGCTTCCTTCTCTGATGGCTGAGGCTTTGTGTCCTCTTGAGGAGAAACAACTTGTTCTGGTGTCAGAGTCTGACATTCATGGCGGCGGTAATGGCTCTTTCCAGAGTGCTGAGGCTCCTGAATGTCTTGATGTGGTTGATGTCGTACTGTGGTCAAAGGTTGACGTTCATGACAGCCAGTTGTGGCCTCCTCTGGGGATTGAGACTCTTGCTCTTCTTGGCCAGTCAAGGCCTGCTCATGACCTTGAGACTGACATTCCTGTTGGTGAGTTGATTGCTTTCCACGTGTCAGAATCCCACCATCTGGCTTGCAACTCTGAGCCTGTTCCGGTTCTTGAACTTCCTTTGTTGGCTGTTGGCAAGAATCATCCTTTGCTTCCTGATACTCTTCTACAAGTCTACGAACAGCACCTTTCCCCCGTGTCTGAGGCTTACATTCCTGTTGCTGCATTGACCGCTCTCCTCTCTGAGGTTCCTGCTCTTGACAATAGGTTGAATGTTGCTCAGACGTTGACGTTCTTTCTTTCCCACAGCCCAATGAAGGCTGTTCCTCCTGATGATCTCTGCAGGACTGGGAAGTGGATTTCTGTTCTGGTGCTTGAGGTTCCTCAACCCCCCTTTGGGCTGGTCTTCGAACCGCTTTCTGTGATTCTTGCGACTTGGGCTTCACTACATCCTGTTCCCTCTTCAGTGGCTCTTGGGTCTGTCTCGGAGCTTCCTTTCGATGGGGAGTAGGTTGCTGAGCTGCCTGCTCTTGCTCCTGTGGCTCCCTGTGGCCCTGTTCCTCCATCTGACATGGCTGGGATGGTTTTTGGACTGTGCTCTGTTGAGTTCCTTGAGTCTGGCATTCATCTGGTGTGTCAGGTTCCTGGCAGCTTTGTCTGCTTATCTCCTCAGCTACGATTTGGGGTTTTCGCTGCGAGGGCTTGGAGCAATGCTGCACTTCTCTCCGAAAACCTTGGCAAGATGGCTCCTTCTCTCCTCTTTGGCCTTCCTCTCTCTCCCTCTGAGCTGGACACGTCCATGATGGCTTCTGTGAAAACCGGGAACCCCGTTCTTGTTTTAGGGGTTCTTTACTCCGCCTGTCAGAAAGTGTCTCTGATTTTGGGGACTCCTGTTTCTCTTCTTGAGATGAGCACTGAGACTCAGGTTCAGAAACTTTCTCCGGTTCTTGAGCAGGTTGTTGAGTTGAGCCTTTGCTCAGCACTGATGTCTCCTGTCTCCTTGCGCTGCTCCCTCCCCTCCTGGACTGCCCTTCTGCTGTCACTCCACACTCGTGTTCCTTCTTATAGCAGGCCTTTGCCACTTTGAACACCAGGACGGTGAACTCCTCAAAGTCCACCTTGCCATCACAGTCTTTGTCAAGCAGCTGCAGCATGGTCTCGATTGTCTCAGGGTCCTGCGGGTTCTGAAAGGAAATGCACCAAGCTTGTTACTCACTTAGGAAGGCAGTATAACTCCGTCATACTGAGCTGCTCCATTGGACCATCAATCTCCCTATTGCCCAGACGATGCACATTCCTAGCTCAACCTGGAGATGCCCAGGGATTGATCCTGGGACCTTCTGCATGCAAAGTGGAAGGTGCAAAGGAGATGCTCCTCCACACAGTTATGTCCCACCCTCTCAAAAACCAATTAAGAATCCCAGTCCTCAAAGTTCTGACTAAAGGGCTGGTTTAAATAGGAACATACTAAGTCAATCCATTGTTTCATTTAGCCCAGTATTGTCTGTGTTGACTGGCAGCAGATCTCCAGAGAGACAAGGCTCTCTCCAAACCCTACCTAGATATGCCAGGGATTTGAACCGGGGACTGTATGCATGTGGAGCCGATGCTTTGTTGCTGAGCCACGACCCTCTACTTAAATAGGAACAGAGGAAGCTGCCTTATACAGAGGCCATTGGGTTCATCTAACTCAGCATTGTCTACATTGACTGACAGCAGCATTGTCCACAACATTGACCGACAGTGAATACTTCCCAGCCCTACCTAGAGATGCCATTGGGGGACTGAACCTGCGACCTTTTGCTTGCAAAGCAGAGGCTCTGCCACTGAGCCATGACCCTTCTCCAAAGCTTCATTAGCCTTGGCCAGCATTGTTACCTATCTCCTGGTCTACAAGGCCTCCTTCACTCCCTGGTCCTTCTTAACTTGAAGCCCATTCACTTGACCTCCCCAATATCTTAAATCCACCCACAGCATGCAAGTCTTCCATACTTGGTCTCTCTTCCTCTGCCCCCGATCCTCCCATCCCATCCCATTGTCCAAGAAAACCAACATAGACACTCACCACGATCACCTCGGCAAACTCCTTCTGGATGAGGCTCTTTAGCTCGCCTTTGCTGAGCGTCGCACATTCCCCATCGTCTTTTGCGTACTTGTTGAAAGCACCGATGATGCTGTGGATGTTCCCGAGGAGCTGAGACATCTCTTGGCAAGTTCAAGGGGGATCCTAAAATGAAAGAGCAAGGTGTTCACAACTGCGCTGCTCAAAAGCTTGCACTGGCTGCCCGTATGGCACCAGGCCAGGTTCAGGTTTCTTGTATTCGTTTGCAAGGCCCATAACAATTTGGGTCCAGGGTGCTTTAAGGACATCCTGATTGCTGAAGTCTTCAGGGAAGTCAAAGTTAGGGCTTAGCCACACTTTCCTCCAGGCTTTCTAGGCAGGTCTCTGAGGGGAATAGGGGTGATCTCCTAACAACTCTCAGCACCCTTAACAAACTACAGTTCCCATAATTCTTTTGGGGACGACATGATGGTTTAAAGCAGCACCATAGTGCTTTAAATGTGTGAACCAATAATCATAATGATTGCCAATTTAAATGTATGAACGTGGTCTTAGAGCTGACTTTAATTGAGCAGTAAAATGTCGAAATTACAATAATCTTCAAATAGCTAAAAGGCTGTCACAAGGGAGATGGAGCAAGCTGGTTTTATGCTGTTCCAGAAGGGAGGACACCTGAACAATGGATTCAAATTACGAGAAAGGAGGTTCTGACTAAACATTAGGAAGAACCTTCCAAGGGTAAGAGCTGTTTGAAGGTTGAACCGACTCCCTTGGAAGGCGGCGGACCGACCTCAGCAGAGGCTGGATGGTCATCTATGAGGGATTCTTGAGTCGTGATTCCTGCATTGCAAAGATGAACCCTGGAGATCTTTTCCATCTCTATATTCTATGATTCTAGAATAGTACAGAGAAGCACGCTTAGCCTCAGATACAGCAAGACACGGTGTGGTGCTCAGCACTGACTGACTGATTCCTAATGGGTCAATCGATCAATGAATCAATTCAATTTTCAGAGAGGGGATGCTCCTACCGGCTCCCCATTCCCTGCAACCATTCCAATCCCTTGCATTTGCTGAACTCACCTGTCCTTCACACAAGCAGCGGCACGTTAGACTCTAGGGCTCCGTTGGTGAGCAGGTTGGCAGCTGGAGATCATTATATAGGAGCCGCTTAATCACCGCCTTGCAGCGGGAGGCTCCCTCTCTCTGAGCAGGCTTCTGATTCAGACCCTGGCAAAGTCCACAGGCACCTCCTTCACTCAGCAAGTCCCCGGCGGAGCTGACACTCACCCGCATTGGCTCTGCTGCACAGCTTCCAAAGCTGGCCGACCCACCTGCCTTCGCACCCGCCCGGGAGTGACAGATCTTTATTTTTCCATTTTACACGCAAGTTCTATTTCTGACCTTTTGTAGCCTTTAGCGGGACACAGTCCTCTCGAATCCTGTTTGGCAAAAAACCTGTTGCGCAAGGGCGAGGCACGTCAAGCAGAGGTCCCTCATTGTTGCTGGCCCTGCAATTATGACTTTAACGGCAGTGGAAGAAAATCCACGGGGGTGAGTGGATTTCCGGCGCGGTCTGTTATCGCCCCTTGTGTTTGTTTGGAGCTGCGTTCCACTCTGATCTCCTCTGTACTACACATTTAAAGCACTACATAAGTGGGCTAGGAAACCAAAATGCTTGTTTACAATGCTATTGTACTACCAACCTTGTACAATGCTATTGTACTACCAACAAACATTGTTGCATTACATTCTTCATTAAATTATCTTTCCATTGATGTATAATGTTATGGTATTACTCCAAAAGGAAGTGGTGTTATAGAATCATAGAATCATAGAATCATAGAGTTGGAAGAGACCACAAGGGCCATCGAGTCCAACCCCCTGCCAAGCAGGAAACACCATCAGAGCACTCCTGACATATGGTTGTCAAGCCTCTGCTTAAAGACCTCCAAAGAAGGAGACTCCACCACACTCCTTGGCAGCAAATTCCACTGTCAAACAGCTCTTACTGTCAGGAAGTTCTTCCTAATGTTTAGGTGGAATCTTCTTTCTTGTAGTTTGGATCCATTGCTCCGTGTCCACTTCTCTGGAGCAGCAGAAAACAACCTTTCTCCCTCCTCTATGTGACATCCTTTTATATATTTGAACATGGCTATCATATCACCCCTTAACCTCCTCTTCTCCAGGCTAAACATGCCCAGCTCCCTTAGCCGTTCCTCATAAGGCATCGTTTCCAGGCCTTTGACCATTTTGGTTGCCCTCCTCTGGACACCTTCCAGTTTGTCAGTGTCCTTCTTGAACTGTGGTGCCCAGACCTGGACACAGTACTCCAGGTGAGGTCTGACCAGAGCAGAATACAGTGGCACTATTACTTCCCTTGATCTAGATGCTATACTCCTATTGATGCAGCCCAGAATTGCATTGGCTTTTTTAGCTGCCGCGTCACACTGTTGGCTCATGTCAAGTTTGTGGTCAACCAAGACTCCTAGATCCTTTTCACATGTACTGCTCTCAAGCCAGGTGTCACGCATCTTGTATTTGTGCCTCTCATTTTTTTTGCCCAAGTGCAATACTTTACATTTCTCCCTGTTAAAATTCATCTTGTTTGTTTTGGCCCAGTTCTCTAATCTGTCAAGGTCGTTTTGAAGTGTGATCCTGTCCTCTGGGGTGTTCGCCACCCTCCCAATTTGGTGTCATCTGCAAATTTGATCAGGATGCCCTTGAGTCCATCATCCAAGTCGTTGATAAAGATGTTGAATAAGACCGGGCCCAAGACCGAACCCTGTGGCACCCCACTAGTCACTCTTCTCCAGGATGAAGAGGAACCATTGATGAGCACCCTTTGGGTTCGGTCAGTCAGCCAGTTACAAATCCACTGAGTGGTAGCATAGTCAAGACCGCATTTTACCAGCTTCTTTACAAGAATATCATGGGACACCTTGTCAAATGTCTTCCTGAAATCAAGGTAGACTACATCCACTGCGTTCCCTTCATCTACCAGGCTTGTAATTCCATCAAAAAACCAGATCAGGTTAGTCTGACATGACTTATTTTTCAGAAATCCATGCTGACTATTGGTGATCACAGCATTCCTTTCTAGGTGCTCACAGACTGTTTGCTTAATGATCTGCTCCAGAATCTTCCCTGGTATTGATGTCAGACTGACTGGGCGGTAATTATTTGGGTCCTCTCTTTTCCCCTTTTTGAAAATAGGGACAACATTTGCCCTCCTCCAGTCTGCCGGGACTTTGCCTGTTCTCCAGGAATTCTCAAAGATGACTGCAAGTGGTTCTGAGATCACATCTGCCAGTTCTTTTAATACTCTTGGATGCAGTTCATCTGGCCCTGGAGACTTGAATACATCTAAACTAGCCAAGTATTCTTGTACTATCTCCTTAGTTATTCTGGGCTGTGTTTCCTTTGCTGAATCATTTGCTCCAAATTCTTCAGGTCGGGCATTGTTTTCTTTATCGGAGAAGACTGAGGCGAAGAAGGCATTGAGGAGTTCAGCTCTTTCTGTGTCCCCTGTTTGCATTTCACCATCTTCTCCTCTGAGTGACCCCACTGTTTCTTTGTTCTTCCTTTTGCTAGGGACATAGCCATAAAAGCCTTTTTTGTTGCTTTTAACCTCTCTAGCAAGCCTGAGTTCATTCTGTGCTTTAGCTTTTCTGACTTTGTGTCTACACGTGCTGGCTATTTGTTTGAATTCCTCTTTGGTGGTTTCCCCCCTTTCCATTTTTTGTACACATCCTTTTTTAATCTTAACTCAGTTAAAAGTTCTTTAGATAGCCACCCTGGCTTCTTTAGGCACCTTCCATGTTTCTATCTCATTGGTATTGCCTGATGTTGTGCTTTTAGTATCTCCCTCTTAACAAACTCTCAGCCATCATGAACTCCCTTTCCTTTTAGTATTACTGTCCATGGGATCTCACCCAGCGCTTCCCTAAGTTTTATGAAGTCAGCTTTCTTAAAGTCAAGAAATTGAGTCCTAGTATGCTTGGCTGCTCCTTTCCGCTATATAATAAACTCCAGAAGAGCATGATCACTCGCGCCTAATGATCCTTCCACTTCTACCCCACTAACCAGGTCATCAACATTGGTTAGGACCAGATCTAAAATGGCTGTTCCTCTTGTTGCTTCTCCCACTTTCTGGACAATGAAGTTATGAGCCATCAAACCTCAGAAGTACACTTTCCCCAAAAGGTTTCCGTAATTTTGGCCACTAGTGTAGGTCCTGCTTACGGGCTTCATAGAAGATGCTGGACTAAATGGACCATTGGCTTGATCCAGCCGGCTATTCTTACGTTCTTAAGAGTGATATCATCTCCAGTTTTGCTTTAAAGCAGTGACACTCAGTGGCCGATTCAGGATATGACAGGGAAGGATAGTTGATGGCTCAGAACCATTGAATTCAGAGAAAGAGAAATGGACAGGTGGTTTCGAAGGATATCGAGAGATGTGAATAGAAGAATGATGTGAGATTGTAAAAAAAATCCACTTTTTTCTCTTTTAACACTTTTTCTTGCATTCTTTCCCACATTTGCTAATACATAGCTGTCGGAATAAAAATCACCCAGACGTCTTTGTAAAAATATATAGGCTTTTTTTTTTTTAATTAGTTCCATTAGGAATGGGAAACTTGCAGATATCTTTGGACTCCAACTCCCATCAGCTTTAAGCAACATGGCCAACTATCCAGGGTGATGGGAACCAGAGTCCTCATCCATGTTTCATTTTTTATTTCTTTATTCCTTATGCTTGGATCCCCCTCTTTCCTCTGAAGAGCTCAAGGGGAAATGCCTGGAACTCCCCATCTCCCTTTTATTAGTGTTTCCTGGCTGCTGGCATGGAGCATAAAGCTATCAGTGGCTACTCAACCCAGACTCTCCAAGTTTCCCCATTTTCCAGGGACAGCCCCAGATTTACAGAAACCGTCTCGGTTTCTGATTTGATCCCGGAACATCCCACTTTTTCTTAGGACATTCCTATTTTCATCGGAAAAATGTTGGAGCATTTGGAGTTATAGGTAAAAGGTAAGGAAAAGGACCCCTGGATGGGGTTAAGTCCAGCCAAAGGCGAATACCTCAGGTTACATACCCTTCAGGTTACATACGCTTCAGGTTACAGACTCCGCTAACC